ATACATACATACATACATACATACATACATACATACATACATACATACATACATACATACATACACAAACTCATAATTATACGTTTGTGTGTATACGCATACTCGCACGCACAGCATACATGTTAGCATATGAAGCATACTCTCTTACGGTTGGCTCAAGCGCACGCTGCCACCAAAAACGGCCTGTCTTTTTTTCTATTAAACGCGTGTGCGTTCATCCCACTCTTTGCCCGTCGGCCTGGGAGAATCTGCCAGTTGAAGCGTTAATGCTCAGCTTGTCTCAACCCTTCTCACAGAATGCCTACAGTCTTAGTCATAGACTATTCAACTCCACTTGCCTCCCGTCCACGAGCACCTCTTTGCTTGCCCCCTCCTGTCCACTCTCCTTTGTTCTGCCCCTCAGTCCGCAGGCCCACACTTTGGTGCCGTTTGCCCACTCGCTTGACCCACTCCTTCGCTATCTTCGCACCACGACACTCTCCGACTGGACTTTGTCGTCTGTCCACCCTTCGGTAAGACCAAGTGACAGCCACAAGAGCTCCCTTTCTAACCATCTACAGTATTCAACATGTGAATACAAAAAACATGATAATATCTAACATACATATTCATTTGTATAAGATAATATCAATCCAATAGCAAGTTTATATAATAATCTATTATGTATATATTATATAATTATATTCCTACCGAGCAAGCTCTTTGGGGTGTGAGTTAGAATTCTACCGCTACTTGGCTCAGACAAGTGGATTGAATTGTTTGACCTTGTTTTCGCAACTTGGTCATGTTGGTAGGACGACTTTGAGGAACGCACCCAGTCCGGAGTCCATTGTCTGCATCGTCATTTCCAGAGTAGGACCGTAGACATGGTACCTTCCCAGACGTTTCGCCGGCATCGTCGGTGAGTATCGCCATTCTTAGCACCATTCAACAACTAGTCAAAGAGACAAGTGAAGCCCAAGAGACAACTTGTCTCTTTGACGAGTTGTGGTGTGGTGCTACGAATGGCCAGACTCACCGACGATGCCGGCGAAACGTCTGGGAAGGTACCACGTCC